AAAAAATAAATAAATAAAAGGAGAGGGAAACCACGGTATTGGTAGCAGAATGTAAATTAGCTCTGCTTGGATTCTACAGTTAAAGAGGAAAGCAGTTCTAATTTGTCTGGAATGCAAAGACAGGAAGATAGTAATAATACACACATGGGCAGTTTAAAAACAAATTTCTTTGCCTTTTGCTTTCAAATGCTAAACACAAAACATTGATGCCAATAGTCATAGATTCCAAAAGGCAATGAAAATGTTTTATCCATGTCAGACTTGCAAGGTAACAAGTCTTTAAAGACACACAGTGCTAGGTATTCAAATCTTCCAAGGGAGGAAAATAGGAAGACTCAAAATAAGTATGCATAGATCTAACACTATCGAAAAGTTCTGTAAGGGAGGGTTGAGAATACAGTTGAGTTGAACAAGAAAAGAGATCTAGATAGGGAAGATAAAGAAAGCCTTTATAAAACAAAATATCCTCCCCACCCTGTAAATTTGCATCTGCTTCTTGATGACTTTGTTTCATAATACCAAATTCTTATATTAGGAGAAAACATAATGAACTGCCTGTTTCTTCTTCATCTCCTCCGTATTAGCTATGAACAGATTCCTGGTGGTTTCCCCTGTTCATTTCTCTGTCTCCAGACAGTGACTGGAATTAAACACTTAATCCATTGCTCCATACCCTGAGCCACTCCATGCCTTCCACTTGGTACCACCTCATGACGCCTCCAGTAAAAATCTTTGGCTGCTGAAAAGGCACTGGCTGTCCATTAAATTTCCGCACTGGATCGAGGAATTGCTTAGCACTGTGCCGTACAGCTTGACACAATCTATCTTTAATTACACTATTCGAGTCTCCATTTTTTTGCAAGTCTTCTGGACACACGTCGTCAGAAGAGCCTTCATCCTACAGAAGAGAGTTTAGAGAATACATAACAAGTAGCATACACATCAAAGCGCAGCTAACACACTTCTAGAAGGAGCACTACAAGCACATGATGCACTTTTGGCCAAGTTGCAGCAGTTATTTACTGTGCAGTGAAGTATGCCAGACCCCGACACAGAGACTTTTTTGAACAACTCTCAACTCAAGAGTAGAATCTCTTTTCAGGAATGATACTGCCATATAGCAAATATCAATGTGCAAATTCTCGATGCCTGATGCGACTTCTAATTTAGGATTTCAGTATGTAGCAGAAAGCTGTTTATTTACAGAAAAAGTTTAAAGATACGCTCTTAAGTATAAAAAGCCTTTTCTTCCTAGGAATTAACACATTCAAGCTGCAATAACGTGCCAACATACCTGATTTTCCACTTTACTTTTTTTTGCCACTGATAAGATTTCCTGAAAACAAAGAGAAAAAAAATACTTATGTGCATTTGAACCTTAAAGGCCATTATAATTTGCATTTCAGGAAAACCATGAGATACTAATTAAAAAATCTGGACATACTACAAGTGACTTTCCATACCACATCATGAATCAGACAAGCGACTATACAAGGCCACAAATCAGCAAACACACTACAAGTAGAAAAAGTATCTTCTGGCGAACTTCAGAACTTCTTTCACTCACACACACACGCAAAAGTGCAGGTCTTGAAAGACTTTTTGTTATGTAGATCTTTGTTGCAAGACATGTCTCTTATAATCACATATAAAATTTTACTGCTCCAAGAAATGCAGATGTGTCAGCAGTGAACCGTCTCACTAGACAAAAATAGTGTTACAAAAAAAAAATGGACTAAACAAGTCCATTTACAATTATGGCCTACCTCTTTGGACATAATTTCTGAGATGTTATATGTTCCATCTTCTCTCCCTCGCTTCTTTTTTGCAGCTGTAGGATAATATTTAAGATTATACAGCACATCAAATGTTAAGGAAATTGAAAAGAAGAAGAGTGGCTGCAAATTCCAATACATTACCTGATTTCTCTTCTTTGTTATCAGCTGAATTCTGACCCTAGGAAATACATGGAGGGAAGATGCAGTTACTCTCAGGCTGTTATCTTTGAAAGCTTTTTGAAACATCTCACAATTAAACAGTTTATAAAATCATAGCAGAAATAATTTCTACTTCTGAAGGAAAACAAACAAACAAACAAAC